CTTCTAGTACATGGTATGGTGTAGTAATTGCAGCATATTTGTGACGTACAAGTACATCCACAAATACTGTTCCTGCTGTCATAACTGAAAAGTTATTTGCACCACAACGTTAATTCAAGACATTTGCCTGACACTCTGCCCAGACCAGTGCACTCTTTTTATTTGTTTAATGCTCTTCAGTAATATTAAAATCATAGAATCATAGAATAGTTAGGGTTGGAAAGGACCTTAAGATCATCAAGTTCCAACCCCCTTGCCATGAGCAGGAACACCTCACTCTAAACCATATTACCCAAGGCCTCGTCCAACCTGGCCTTGAACACTGCCAGGGATGGAGCATTCACAGCTACCTTGGGCAACCTATTCCAGTGCCTCTCCACCCTAACAGGAAAGAATTTCCTCCTTATTTCCAATCTAACTTCCCCTGTTTAACTTTTAACCCATTACCCCTTGTCCTATCACTACAGTTGGAAGTAGTTTGTATATCTCTTTGTGGCACTTTCTTGTTCTGTCTACAATAGTTTTAGGTGATTAATAATACTTGTTTTGAAGTTGTGATCAATTACTTTTACAATAATAACAGGTAGGTTAACAAATAATAGAATAAAAGCTTAAAGAAGAGTTTCCTATTTATTTGTCTCATTAGGCATAATTGTGCATAAGAATTATGCATAAGAAGTACATTCTTGATCACTCTTTAATGGTGCAGAATATACTTGAGTAAAGAAAACTGCAGAAAAAGTATTCTATTGTTGTAGGTAACATTTGTGTATGAAAAACAAAGAAAGAAAATTACATTTACCCAGTCCAAAACCAAAATACAGATCATGCTTGACTTTCTACATATAAATATGATCTGTGTTCTAATTTTTATTTAATCCTGGGTAAGGACAACTGACCTGGTAAATGTCATCACAGCAGTATGGAGCAAGGTCTTGCACACATTCATGCTTTTTAAAGCTCTTTAATTGCTAAGGCACTAACTTTCAACAACTGTATGCTGCTGATGTTCATCTTGGTTTTGGACTACAGGAAAAAATACCAGGAACATGTCTTTGGATATTATTTATAATATTCTGATTTAATTACCCAGTTATGAATGATCCTTTTCTGAAATAGATGCAGAATACTCAGAAACCTAAATGAAAATATTCTTTTTATTAATAACATAGAACCTTCAGTCTTGCCAAATTATGTCACTTAAAATGCTAAAGCTACAAGATGTTTTCATTATTGAGAATGGCAACCCTACAGCAAGGGAAATGCTGTTGCTTGTAAAAATTAATAAACCATAACTTTTAAAATTTTTAACTGTGTTTGTAGTGATTACATTTTTTGTGTCAGTTCCTTTTGCTGTTTGAATATAGAGTACCAGCAGTACTGTTAATCCTAGTAAAAGAAATAACTAGTTCTACTTCAACAATGGCCATTGTGAGTTTTCATTTGTAGTGAAGAATTGGAAATACTTGTTTTTTCCAGAATGGGATAACTGGTGTTTATAACACAGATTTAGACATCTTCCCTGCTTAAGTGTGTTCTGTTTCTTATTCTTAGGTTAATTGAGGGGGAGAAAGAAAAGATTATTTCTAAGGCTGTACTTATTGATAGCAGTCACATTCTAAGGATTCAGAGTAGCATCTCATCCTGAAGTCTTCCCCACATGATAATGGAAGATGTATATACTTCTTGTACACTTAACAGCAGTATTTTTCAAACTTTTTTGAAAAAAATCCAACCACCCCAAAACCCACAACCAAAAAACCCCTCTTTTATTTTCTAATTGATATCTGAGGAAAACAAACTGAGATATCTGAGCATATGAATGATTATTCAAGAAATATGTTTTCCCTAAAAATGTGAAACTTTGAATTTTTTGTTATAGTGTGGGACCTTTCACATTTTTCATCAGAAATATATGTAGAGATTACTTGATTTCTTTGATAGGAATGTGTTGATTAGTACTGATTCATTCAAAGCCAGGTTTTTGTGTTTGATTAAGATGATGGAATAAAAAAATTTGCCAAGTCTCTAGCTTCTTTGCACCCACATATACATGTCTTTCTAATCAGTGCATTAGTGAATAAATCTAAAATTCACAGCAGCATCACACTTGTATGCAGTTAATGAGAGGTTTGGCAAGGTCTGCTGCAGAGATGAGATTAAAAATTATATGACATTTTTTCCCTTATCTGCTTCTTCATGCTTCATAGGTACCTTCTACTGCCAAATTGTCTTCTTTTTATTTTCATCATTTAAGGCTCTATATCTAGGGTTCAGGTACAGTAAAAAATGTCCTTCTATCCTTATATTTTTCAAATGCATTGTGATGTTTTTTGCTTCACTTGTATGAAACTGTATATAGCAACAGGTAAGATTAAAAAATAGTTTCATCAACAAAGAAGAACTGGAATGTTTATGTGTTTTTTGAGAATACTTAAAGAAGACCAGTTTCAAGATGTTACAATTCTAGTGCTTCAGACCCCTCTCTATTTTCTAATTAAATTAATAGAAATGTTTGGATTTATTGCTGTTTATGCTCAAAGTGCTTTATTGGTTTTTGACTTGAACAGTATTGAGATTTATTTTCTTATACTTGCTAAGGAAATTGCATCAATATAGTAAATATTGCTAACTTCTATATTTTGAAAAAGACTTGCTCTGTTTAATTTGTCTCAGAGGAGAATGTTAATCTTCCTTATTGGCTCAGTAATCCTAAAATGGGTCAGGCCTCTTCCTTCATGACCGCCAAAGGGTTGGATCCTGATATTTTAAAATTCAAAATTTGGCTTTCATTTCTGTTAATGCTTCTTGGTGGATCTTGGAAGAAGCAGGTCAGGCATACTGCCAAGGCTCATATGTACCTAAAGTAAAGGGAGTCTACCTCACATTAATCAGGGGTGCAAAAGTCCAGGTGACCTCTGACTCCATGTATCAGAACATTTGTTCTAGATTATTGATGCTGTTTACAGTCTTTATCATATTTTCTCAATACAATTTTCTTACAAGAATAATGATCAGAGCCTCATTCTCTTGAAAAGCGTATGAATATTCTTAGCATGAACTTACTAAGAATTGTTGACATACCTGGAAACTTCTAGGAAGATAGTTCAGCTCCCTGTGTGAAGGTCGTGTGTTAGCAAGCTTGCATGTTGGCATCATCTATTTTGTAATTATTACAGTGATAGGCCAAACATCAATGTCATGGTCAAACAAGACTGAAAAGGAAGAATATATTTGCAAGCAGAAATGTAAAAACAGCTGACTATTCCACTTCTTTTTCTTTTAATAAAAAATTAAATTGCTTACCAAATCTAGCACCATACGTGTGTCAGGTTCTTGCTACCTTTCCCTAATAGTATTGCATAGTACTTCCCCTAGTAGCTTGCTAGTATCAGGAAGAGTTGAAAAGTTGCAATCCAGCAGATTATTTAGTACAATAAATCTTTATGGGTTTTTCTTTGGGTTTTTTGTTTGTTCATTTGGTGTTTTTTGTTTTGTTTTTATTCTCTTACAAAGTTGACAATATACTTCATCAAAGTTTATAAAACCTGTCATCAGGGGGTTGGACTAGATGATCTCTTGAGGTCCCTTCCAACCCTTGGGATTCTGTGATTCTGTGATCTGCATAGTTTGGTCAATAGAATTTCACAGGGTAACTTCCCAAATCTACAGTATAAGTTTTTTTATTAAATTTTAATGCATCTTTAACAACTGTGTAAAATCAAGATTCCTCCAAGAATTGTCATTTACTATGGAATGTAACAGAGCCTGAGCTTTGGTTATAACTTTACTATTCATCTATTCTGCATTATTTTTTGTGCCTTTTTTCTTTCTTGAAAGAATATGGTTTTCCTTTCCAAAAAGTAGTCAGGAGAAAAAAAAAACCTGAAAAAGAGGCTTTGAGGATTTTAAGACCTCTGTGACAAAGAATTCAGCATAGTAAGTATCTAAAGGGAAGGTGTAAGGAGGATGGGGCAGACTCCTCTCAGTGGTGCCAGGTGATAGGACAAGAGACAATGGGCACAAACTAAAACACAGGAAGTTCCAGTTGAACATGAGAAAAAAACTTATCTACTGTGAGGGTGACTGGGCATTGGAACAGATTGCCCAGAGAGCCTGGGGAGCCTCCCCGTGGAGAGAGTCATGAGCCATCTGTACTTGTTCTTGAGCAATGTGCTTTAAGTGATGCTGCCTGAGCAGGAGGTTGGAATCGATGACCTTAGGTGGTCCCTTCCAGCCTCAATCATTCTGTGATTCTGTACTTCCAACAGGGCTACTTCCTTCATGTGGTGTACTAATGCTTTCTTCTTTTTGAATGATAAACAATACATTCTCTGTTACAGGTCTTCAGGTCTTCACTTGTGAAGATATTTTCAGTTGTGATCAAAGTGACATGATTTCCTCTCAGATAAAACTAATGTGCATCAATTTATTTAGAAACTAAGAATTTGTTTGAATATGGGCAATGGAACATGCTTCTTGGATGCATTCAGAGATTGCAGTAAGTGAATAATGGTGGAAAATGAGTTCTGTAAGTAAGTCATGAATGGGTTGGAATGTGGTTAGTTACAAAGAAATAAAATACTGTGTAAGTTATGATGTGCATATAACTTTATTTTTAAAAAGTGAATTCCTGCAGTAGGGGTAATGGAATGTAGACAGAGATTTTTCATAATTTTCAACATCTTCTAATTACTGAATCAATTATAAGAATACAGGTATTGGCTCGATGATATACAGTTATGCAGTGGGAAAAACTAGTTTGATTATAGGATATTGAAAACTCAGGAAATATAGTAAAAGCAAGTAGTGGCATAAGAATCTACCCAACCTAGAAAATATTCTTACTTGTGCTTAACTACTGTGATTGGAATAAATAGTTTAAAATTATATATAATACTTATATATATTTTTATATATATAATATATTATTATATATTATATAATAATAGTCTGGGATTACAGACTTCAGTTTAGAAAGGTAGGGAGAAATAAAAAAACTGAATAAAGCGATACTTAGTGAAGAAAATATGGAAAAAGTTTTATATTGCATAAATGGCTTATACTTTAAAGAAAAATGTGGGTTAAGTTTTGATAAAGCCTGACCAATGAGAATCTTCTTCAAGTTACTGTGGAGTGGCTTTACTGCTGTAAATAATCCTGTTGGCCACATCCCAGTACAGTGCAGATGAGAAAAGGATGCAGGAAATTCTGTTGTTTACATATGTGTCTGTAACACTGAGAAGCAAGAGGAGCCCAGCAAACTCGGAGGGTAAGGGCTCTTAAGCATGTGGGTTTGCTGTTTAATTTTTATATTTCTCTTTAGGGACAAAGTATGAGTGACTATCATGCTGATGATAAGAAGGAAAACAATGTGAAATATCCAGCCAAAAATACTGAAGATCAGAAAACAGTATTTGAAATACATGGCTAAGTCAGATTTAGCTATATTTTTCTCATCTATCTTTTTCACTACTTTCAGGGAGTATTAATTCTAACACCCCATTAATTGTAGCTTGTTTTTCAGATGTAGTAGGACCTTTACTTACCATAATCAGGTAAGTTTTCAAAATCTTCAAGTGGCATTTTGTTAAATTATTATTTCTTATTTTTTATTTAGAAATTACTATAAGTGCAGAAAGTTCAAGGATTATACTGTTTCAATACTGAAAAACTTCTATAAAGCACTATAATCTGCAATAGGATAAACTGATAAAGCATTCATAACTTTTAATCATTATTGGTATTACAAACATATATCATGAGAATATTGTTATGAGTTTGCAGCACTTCATATTGCATTTTTTGTTTGTTTTCACAGTGTTTCTATTTTTATAAATTACACTACTGAGTTGTATAATCCTAACTTCCTTCAGAAAATACCTGACGATAGAATAAGGAAAGAGAGTGTTCTTAGCTATATGATACTGTTGTAATGCAATGAAATATAATTTATGGATACTATGACTTGTTGATGCTGGGCAAAGATATATAGTTTACATTATTTAAAGGCAAATATCCCAGATGGTATGAGACTTTGTTGATGATCCATTCGTAATGAGAACCAAGGGACAAATTTCAAAAGTAATGTTGATGAGTTTAATAAATATATATAACAAGTAGTATTAACAGACCTCCTACTGACTATCCAGATAGCTGCATTTTGTCTTAATTCTCACTGATCCTTTTTTGCTAGAAACCTAGCTTTTGTTTTTTATTATTTATGTTAGAAAATTCACATTCTTTCAAGTTTGTGAATACAATTCTTTGGATAATATAATAAAGATAAAAGGATTTCTGTAATCTATTTGGTATAATTAATGGAACTGTCAGGTGCCCTCTGCAGAAGATTCTATGAAAAACTTATTGAAAAAATGTGAAAATAAGAAGTCTGTCATTTTTATGTATTTACATGTAGCCAGTTTTTAGTTGAGGCCATTCTTTTGCCTTAAAGTATTAATGTCAACCTCTAATAAATTTTTAGAAAATGAATAATCTATAGTAGCTGGTATTGAACAGCCATTATACACTGCCATTGACTGCAGCACCAAGAGGTTTATATCTCGGAATCATTTGAAATGTACAAATTAGTTATTCTACTAGTTGACACTTCTGTGGGTTGACAAGACTAGTAAATGTTACCCACTTCCATTCTGTCTGAAGAACAATATTCAAAACAAAGTATGCCAAAGGAGCCTGCATGAGTAACCAGTACATATTAATTTCTTCTCTTTTGGTGGGACTACTTGATGGCCTACTGTAGGTACTGAGAGAATAGCTATGCTTCTTTATGCATTTGAGTACTATTTAGACTACAGCACATGATAATTTGTGGATTATTTCATATGGCCACCCTAGGAACTGTAAAGCCATGGCTTATGTGACACTATGAATTATTTCTTAAGTACATTTCCCTCAAAGAAGACTTAGTGGAGCTGGAGTCATCACCAAATGCTATCTTATATCATTAAATCCCACAAACGAGTCCTTGAACTGTTTAAAGACATGAGGTGGTGCTAAAAAACTGCAGTGGCTAAAGACAATGGAGAATAATTGCATGCAAATGTCCAAGAAGTATTTTTTCTTCATACTTTTTTTTTAAGAATAATCATTAATTATGGAAGAAATTACTTCTAAAACTATCCTGATAAAGCTGATCGTGTCTTTGCACAACAATATCATTAATTCTGATACAACTGTATCAAAGTGGTCAAACAAGCCAAAGAGATAGGCTCTGTCCCAGAGAAAACAAAATATTCATGAGCATTCTTACTTGTCTTATGTGGGTGGGAAAATCACTTATTTCCAGACTGACACTGAATACTGTTTTGAAAAAAAATTGTTCTGTCTCCAAAAAAGCATTGGAATGTTTCATGGTCTGAAACAATGCATCAGATATCTGTGATTAGTTTTCCCTACTTCCAGTGTTATGAAATTGCTTTTGAAAGTAAGTCAGTCTTTCATTAGAAAAAGATAAATGGTTTCAACTATAACAAGACTATTCTTAATCTCTTATATCATAAAAATTCAGAATTTGTCAGAATATAAACAGGGATTAAAAACTTGACTTTTTTCAGGTACATGCCTTTATATCTTCACATATTGAAAACAAAATTAAAAAAGCTCTCAGTGTTGTTTTGTTACTAAGCAAAACAAGCCTATAAATGAAAGTGAAGCTGTCCAGTTTAAAGTAACATTCAAAAAGTTGTCAGAAATTTGATATAAACTCTAGAAAATAAAATTTTGATGATTTTTTCTTTAAGCAGTGAAGCTTCTCTATACATTTAAGTGACCTCTGCTGTTTGGATGAACAGGTATTACAATTGTATCTAACCTAATTCTTGTTCAGTAAAGTGCTTTTCAGAATGAGTAAAGAAGTCTGTTTTCAGTTGGCTTTTCCAACTTCCTTTTGAAACTGAAGGAAGCTCGGCTGACTTTATCTAAAACTCAGTGTGAAAAACATGGGGAGAGGAGGAACAGAAGGGGGACCAAAAATAAAAAAAAAACCTAAACCCATAGATCTTTGAAGTGCTCAGTGCCATTTCGGAGTAGCTGAGCATCTTATATTTTAGCTATACCAAATAAGAACTTATGGAGGCTCTCACAAAGAGGTTAATTTGCATTTTAAAATAAATAAATAAAAAACCCCATTAAATAGTAGCATGCTAATGTTAGCCGTGGCTGGCAAAGGAACCTAAACATTGAGAATCTGACATGACACAATGGTATTCATTTTTAATAGTGTATTGTAAGCTTATTTAAAGCTTACTTGCAAATATTTATGTTTCATATATCTTAAATTGATTAACAAATACCCTGGATAAACAGTGAATGAAATGATTTTGGCTTCCTTTTCTTCTTTGACTTGTAACTTACAACTGGCTTAAATGCTTGTAAATTTTAACACTTCTAAAATCATTTATGAACGACATGCTCAAAGGTAGATCTAATCTTGTGGATAATGTATGTCTTGGGTATTATTCCCATACTTTTCCTTCTTTCCAGAAAAACAGAGCAAATCCATGAAAGGCATTCTTCTGTGTCATGTTAAAGGACTGTCTGTCAGTATAACCAAGATAACAGATGTGTGTACTGGCTGAGCTGCATATCCTATATTTACACACTGACAGCTCTGATTGCATGGAGTATTTTGAGATATTCTGTTGTTGATTGACAACTGGTTCGGTTGCAATTTAGCTGATCAGTGTAAGAACCTACCTGCTTAACTTACATATCTCCAGTAAAGGGGTTATGACAACTTTAGCACTGATGTTCACTTCAACGTGCAGTAAAAAACGTTTGTCATATTAAACACACTAACTTTGTCTGCTTTCTGTGGAAATGGAAGAGGAAGACTCATGCACCTGGTTATTCTTTACCTCAGCTGTGGAACTGCTGGGAAAAAAAAAAAATCAGAAACCATTTTAATGTAATTAAGAGGAAATCTCACTGCATCTGAAGAACAAGATGCCTAGGTGCTTTCATAAATCACATGAAGAGTTAATTTGCATCTTTACCTATAAGCACTGAAAAAATATAGTGTTTCAGTATACTGAGCTGATATTAGCTAATGTGAAACCTATTCTTCTGAAGCAATTATCTGTTTTAGTTTCGAGAGCAAGTTACTATTGTTCTAAAAAAAAAATCTATGCTATGCAGGAGATGCTTATTAGGCCAGACCTTTAACCGATAGGAATTCATCTGTATGAATTAACATTGCCTTAGTTTAAATACAGTCTGAATTTACTATGAAGTTATTATTCATAGCATGTCTTTCCTAATAATTGTGCACAGCATCATTCAGAAAATAAAGGTAGATTATCAATATCCACATAAAATCAATGGGATGAGATTAGAACTCACGTAAATTGGCTACTTGTTTAGTCCAGAAGTTTACACTGGGTTTTATAAACCTGTTTGTATGGTGTATAACTCGTAAAGATCTAAAACTTTGACTGTTCATACTTATCCTAATTACCTAGGAAGTTGATTTTGCTTCTTTTTTTGCATTGATCATTTACAGAATCACAGAATCCCAAGGGTTGGAAGGGACCTCAAAAGATCATCTAGTCCAACCCCCCCGGAAGAGCAGGGTAACCTAGAGTACATCACACAGGAACTTGTCCAGGTGAGCCTTGAATATCTCCAATGTGGGAGACCCCACAACCCCCCTGGGCAAACTGTTCCAGTGCTCTGTCACTCTCACAGTAAAAAAGTTTTTCCTGATGTTCACATGGAACCTCCTATGCTCCAGTTTACACCCATTGCCCCTTGTCCTATCACTGGACATCACTGAAAAAAACCTAGCTCCATCATTCTGACACTCACCCTTTACATATTTGTAAACATTGATGAGGTCACCCCTCAGTCTCCTCTTCTCCAAGCTAAAGAGACCCAGCTCCCTCAGCCTCTCCTCATAAGGGAGATGTTCCACTCCCTTAATCATCTTTGTGGCTCTGCGCTGGACTCTTTCAAGCAGTTCCCTGTCCTTCTTGAACTGAGGGGCCCAGAACTGGACACAATATTCCAGATGCGGCCTCACCAAGGCAGAATAGAGGGGGAGGAGAATCTCTCTTGACCTACTAACCCCACCCTTTCTATGCACCCTAGGATGCCATTGGCCTTCTTGGCCACAAAGGCACATTGCTGGCTCATGGTCATCCTCCTATCCACCAGGACCCCCAGGTCCCTTTCCCCTTCACTACTTTCCAGCAGGTCAACCCCCAACCTGTACTTGTACATGTGGTTGTTCTTCCCCAGATGGAAAACTCT